CACCCGACAGTTCCTTCTGGGCCTCTCTTGGTTCTGTTCCCTCCCCGGGCTCCCCTTTTATCTCAGACGCCCAGAAAATCCCAGCCCCTCTTCACTCACCCCCGTGCAAAGACTAGCTCGGCGGGGCAGCGAAAGGGACGCCCTTAACTACCCTCCAGCTCTCCCCCACCTCCTCCAGCCCCCACAACATCCATTTCCGGGCGCCCCGGCGTCCTTTCTCTCACTCCCGGTCTCTCCTCCAGCCTCGCACCCCCGCCCCCCAGGCTTTCGCTCCCCTCTCTACCCTTCTCTTGACTTCCCCCGGCCCGGGCGCTGGCCGCCTCCCCTTCCGGCCCGCTCCGGCGCGGGGCACTCGCTCGCTCGGCGATCTCCTCCTCACACCCCCGTCCCCCGCCCGTACCGGGATCAGTTCCTTCAGCGAGCGCCGCACCGGCACGATCTCCAGCTCGCCCTCCTCCACCTCCATGGGCTCTGGCTCTCCACGCTCCAAACCGGACTCCGCCTCAGGCGACGGGAGCCCCAGGGCCGGCCCCGCCGGGGCCTCCGCCTTCACCGACACCCGCAGGCCCCGTACGGCCGCCATCGCCGCCCGCCGGCCGCAGCACTGAGAGCCCGCCCCGAGCACCCGCTGGCTAGAGCGCCGCCGCCACTGGCCACAGAGCCGCCTCCGCCGCTACCTAGAGCGTCGCCTGCTTGGGCTAGAAGGCCCCTTTCAGCGCCGCCGTCCCCCTGGTGGCGGGAGGAACCCGGGCCGGCTGGAGCGGTACCTAGCGAGGAGGAGGACGGACCAAATGGCGACAAAGGCGGGGCCTGTTGGAGGGGGTGGGACCTGGAAGAGATTGGTGTAGCATGCCTTGAGCAGTAAACCCTGCAGAAAAAGCTAACTTTACTGAGTGGTCATTACGTGCCAGCGATTGTTACGAGCTCTTGAATCCGGACAACTCTATGGAGTGAGTACTATTATTCCCCATTTCACATACGAGGAAACTGAGGCATAGAAAGTTACCCAAGGTGACAGGCTATTTACAGGATAAAATCTAGATCTGAGCTAAAGAGGATATATAAGGGTCGTCTTCTAAACGATTCCTTAATTTTTTTTTTTTTTAAAATTGGCCACTCCTCCTTTTTCTCACCCTCTCCCTTCCAGGGAGGCGGGGAATAGATAATGGAAGCCTATCTCTTCTGGGATAATAAAGGGAAAAGCCATTAAAAGGTAATATAAGCTGCTATGGTTAAATCAGATGCTACCTGAGGACTTGTTACATGGTCCACTGGCCTGAGGTGATACCCTGCTGATTCAAGGGGAGATGTTCTTTGATACGATTTTAAATTGGGCTCTCACAACCCCACACCCCTAATCCATGTTCTTGGCATATGTGCAGGAAAACTTTCTAGAGTTAAAGTGTCATGAGGTGTATCTATGTGGGAGGTGTATCTATGCCCAACTCTTACACAGCTAAATTCTTGAAAGGACTGTCTTCCTTCACTTTCTCCATCTGACTTGATCACTCAACATCATGGACACTGATGGCCACTACCCGATTCTTGAAACCACATGCATTCTTCCATTATGTGGTCACACTTGGTTTTTCTTTCACCTTCTAAGCTGTTCCAATGCCTTTTAGGGTTCTTTTTCCTCCCACAACGTGAACAGTGCTCCAGGGCTCAATCCTGGACCCTCTTTGTTCTCATCCCATGCTCACTCCCTAGGCCATCTCATCACACCCATGGCTTCCAATTCCACTGCCACCATACAGTGAGGACCCCCAGAACTCCATCTCTAGTTCTCCCCTCTCCTCTGAGCTCCAGACCCATATGTCCAACTTCCTACTGGACATCTTCCCTGGAATATCTCAAGGCACTTCAGACTCAACTTTCCTAAAACAGAATCTTCCTTCTAAGCCGGGTCCATTCCTGTGTTCCCTACTTCCCTGATTAGTAGTCAATATAGGCGTGCAAGCCTGGAATCTAAGAGCTACCCTTGACGCCTTCCTCTCCCACCCTACTAGCCTAGCCACACATAGTCTTGTCAATCTGGCCTCCCACATGTCCCTCATGTCCATCTGCTTTTTTCCATCCTCTCAGCCACCACCCTTCAGCTTCTTTCCATCCCAACCACCATCATATCACCTCCCATCTGGACACTGCAATGGTCTCCTTACATGGACTACAGCTAGAACAAACAGTGACCAATCCTGCTGGGGATGGGACAGAGTGACCTGAGCAGTAACAGGGGACAAGGAGCCTATGCAGAAGGCATCTGAGAGAGAAGGCAGGAGGAGCTGCCTCCTGCATGCCCAGAAGTATAGGGCAACAGCCTTTGGAAAACCGAAATATCTGGGTTATAGCTACAGCAGAGGCCTGAGCTAGTTTGCAGGCTGAGAAGCTGGAACAGAGGACCAGAAAAAGCCAGAGATATACAGGCCAAAGAAGCAGCTTACCAGGGATCAGGTGGAGAGAATGTCATGCCCAGAGGGAAGGCCCCAGTCTTGTGATTCAGCTGGGAGATGCTCTTTGAATGGTCTCCATCATGGTGGAACAGTGAGTGGGCAGATATAAGTTGTGAAAGCGACTCAGCCGGTGGACAAGATTGCAATTCCTGGGCCATGACTCCAGTCTTATAGAAGATGAACTAGACACCAGACCGCATGCCAAGGGTACCTCTGAGGCTGTGGCTTCTTAGAGGAGGTGACTTGGAGATAGTTAGGGCTTAGAGAGTAGGGAGGGCAGGGAAGCTGACTACAAAGCCAGGATGGACTAATGACAAAATGGTCAGTCCAACCTGGGTGGGGACTAGCAGTTACCCTGGAGGGTTAGAGGACCCATACTTTGTGCCCTGGGTCATTCTAACTAGAGAAATGGATGTGTCTGAGGCCCCGAGTGCAGAGTCAGGTCTGTATATGTATGACAGAGGAGACAGGAGATGGTCATTTAAGCTATGGACACCCAGTCCAGCAGGAGGTTGGAGCACTACAGGGAGTCCTTGTAGGCCATGGCTCTGTTCTGCAGGTGAGATGGAGGACAGGCCCCTCCCCAGACCCTCCTGGTCTCCTTCTGGGCCTCAGTTGACCCCCGCCCCACACACACAGGGCCCAGTACCACCCACCATATGGCTCCCTTGGCCTCTTTCAGCAGAGTCCCAGGACTGCTTATTTGCCCAAGGGGAGGCTGTGTGGGTGTTCCAGCCTGTGTGTGTGTGTTGAGGTGGGGGCAAGGATGACTCAGTAAACTGTGGGATGTTTACATGGATCCCAGTAAGTGTCTGGGGGTCTCCCTGGGAAAATTAGAACTCTTGCTGGCCCTAACCTTTCCTCTCCCTTCCACCAGCTGAGATCATATAAGGTGAGAGTGGTTGAGGGGAGCAGAGAGCAGGAAAAGTGTCTGTGGGATCCAGAGCCCAAAGACATTCTCTTTGAGGAACCAGGGCCTCCCAGGGCAAACCCAGGACTGCTCCCCAGCCTTCAGCTAGACACCCCTGGCCTGGGCTCAGCTCCTCCATGTGGTTAGGTCTGGAAGTGTAGCCTCTGTTTTTGATTTGCCCAGATGTCCTTCCCTGTGTGCAGGCTCTGAGTTTTCCTGGCCACTGGTGTGGGGAAAATCTGGGTGGGGTGGGTGGGCAGGAGACCTAGGCTCTAGCTTGGCAGTTTCCTGACTTGCTATGTGACTCTGAGCGAGTTACTGATCCATGGGCCTCGGTTTTCCTACCATAGCATGCCTCCTAGAGTGGTAGTCCTTGCAGGTAAATGACAGCATGCACCATGGTCCTATTCAAAGCTCTTAGCATGATGATCTGGCTTGTCGGACCCAGGCTCAGGATTTGGTGACAATACCTGGGATGATGAACCAGTCAGGAATTTTTCTGACTGCAGAATAAGCCCTTAGAGGGAGGGACATCTTTGACAAGGAGAGGCAGAGATGGGGAAAGGCAGTGTCCTGGAGGAGAGGATAAGCCCGAAGAGCCATGGGGAGTGAGGAGTGAATGGCGTGTGGGTGGGTGGGGCATGGGTCAGGAGAGCATACAGAGAGGCCATTGGGGCTGATGGCAGAAACATCGAATGCAAGGCTGAACACTGTAGGGAACACACAAGAGTTCTGAGAGGGATGGGCAAGGTCAGGTGGGCACCCAAGATCACCTTGGCAACTGGTGAGAGGATGCATTAGAATGCTGAGGACCAAGGCCAGGAGACACATGAGGAAGTGAGAGATGTTGGGGTCCCAAACTGAGGGCCTGTGGTGATGGGGAGGAAGTGGCAATAAAAACCTGCTTATCAGTCTTGGTATTTGGGGAACTTCTGCCTGGTCGCCTGCACCCCTTCTGGAGAGGACTTGGTAAAGCCCCTCATGTGACCTCCATAAGATGACCAGGAAGCAGGCAGGAGCAGCTCTGGCCTCCATTTCTCAGATGGAAAAACTGATCACCACACTGGGCAGCCTCTGGCTTGGTCTCCTTCTGCCTGGTCTCCAGTTTCACCCAGCTGGGAGTTCCACAGATGGGCAAATACCAATCATGCAGGGCATGCCGAGCCCGTGGCCTCTAAGGCTGGTTCCAGGGAGCCCCAGAGGCAGAAATTTCTTTTTTTTTTTTTCAGGGGCTCATTTGCTGAGTACTTACTCTGTGCCAAGTGCTGTGTCAGATGCCTGGCACAAGGACTTCATTTAACTTCATAAAAACTCTGGGGAGATGCTGATATTGTCTGTATTCGATCCATAAGGAAACCAAGACTCCTACAATGACTTGACAAGGTCACACAGCTATTAAATGGCAAAGCTTGGATCCAAGCTCAAGGCTGTCTGACCTCAATGATGACTTTTTTCATCATGGCCATGGAGGGCCTTAGTATGAACAGGGAGCTACAGGGTCCAAAAAGCCCGTACTCATGCCCAAGGCTAAGGGGGCACAGAGAGGACACAGGGCCCCTGTCACAGGGACTCCTGTGAGGCTCCATTGGGACTTCTGCCCCATGAGTTATGGTGATGGCTCCCAAAGACCAGATCTTGGCTTCCTTGGATCCCTGTAAAACAGGAAAGGTGCCTTCATGGGTAGCCCATTGGCTCCCAAACAACCTCTCCTTCAAGGAGGGGCCATTGGACCTGCTCAGGAGACTGAGCCGAATCCTGTGCTATAGCTCCTCATTCCCCAGAGCCAGGCCTCCTCCCTCCTTCCCTCCCCTCTCACTTCCCCCAGAGCTCTTCCCACTACTATCCTGCTCAGACCCTTCCAGAAAAGGTAGCAAAGCCAGCAGGTCCAGCTGGTAAGAAAGAACACACATCCAGATGCAGAGAATGCACAATTTTTCTTTAACTCAAGAAAGGGCTTTTATTGTTTTTAACTCACTTCCTGGGAAGTTAATTTTTAAAACACTCTTATGGAGTTTGTTCATCACTGTACCACAGTCAAAAACAATGATGTCCAACCAAAACCCTCAGCGATGGGGTGAGCGCCCCATTCAGGCTCTGACCCAGGCAGTGAAGCTTGGCCCACCTTTGAGCTCTGCAAGGGCAGGACCAATAGATGAGGACCCCCTGAAACTGCCACCCTCCAGGCTCCAGTGCAGAGATGCTCAAGAAAAACTTTCAGATCTGTGACTGGCCTCCCATGAACTCTATAAAAGTGTTCTTAAAGACAGTACCGAATTGCTTTTTAAGCCCTGGGTTATGATGCCTTAGTGGAGATGAGCCAGGGAGAAATGTGGACCCATTGACAATGGGCCACATTCTGCTCACAGCCTTAAATAAACATAGAAACTATATTACAGATGCATGTGCCAGTGCAAGACATGCGAGTGTGCTGTGTGCAGCAGATGGGCACGCACATGCATATGTGCGTGGAGGTGCAACGTACACCCACAGGCACAGAGATGTGTAGGACACAGGCACTCCTCCAGCCCAATCTCCCTTTCCTTCTCAACACAAGTCCTCCTGCGATATAAAACCCACGCCAGCGACTGTAATCCTTGTTTGGTCCATGTTTTCAGAGGAGGTATCTGAGTCCTGTTTTTTCTTTCTTCTTTGGGGGTCAATCTCTTGAGCATTTGATCAGTGAACACCAAGCTATCAAGTGACATCTCCAGCCCAGCTGGGTCAACCCATACACTTCAGGGGTCCAGCTCTGGGCACGCTGGACAATGACTGTCCTGGGGGTGAGGCAGAGGCAGAAGGCCCATCTCTCTGAGGCCTCCTGCCAACATGCACACTCCACCAGGGTCTTGTTTCTAGTGCGGCTCTAGTCTGGGCAGTTTGTCCTTCATGATAGGAATGTGAGGGCATCTTCTGGGGCCAGATAGCGAGGCCAGTGTAGGATCAGAAATTGGATTCCAGTTACTTCAGCATCGGCAAGGCCGCAGTCTTGTGAGTCCAGGGCCCTTGGCCAGCGTCAGCTCCTGGTGTCTCTTCTGCAGCCATGGCTCTGAGGAGCCACAAAAAGAAGGAGTGACGTGGGCAGGGAAGGTATGGTGTTCAGGCCTCTGCTCAGAACTGTAATTCAGTGCATTCTCCAGATAGTGCCAAATGTGAAACCCAATCCAGAAAGGTCAGTCCAGTTCACCTGGCTGCCAAATAATGGTGGGATGTGCTAGGGACAGCTCGTTTGATGTTCCCGAGCAGGGTTTTGCACCCCCTTCCTTCCATGTTAAGAACAAAAGTAAGACAACGAAAAAAATGAATTTGAATTCTCTAATACTGACCCCCACCCCAGTAAGGCCCAGGAATACCCATCAAGGGCTCAGAGACTCCATACCAGTGTTCTCAGAAGACACCAGTTCTGGCAGCAACCCCTGACGTGGGCAGGGTACACCTCTCTATGTACGTGCGGCAGCTGAGCCAGGCCTGCCTGGCCCACAGCAGATCTCTGCAGTGGTGGTAAGCCCAGCCTCCACCTGCCATTTTGGTTTCTTGCTTCCTGCCTCTAGGCCTTGCCAACAAGCCAAGTGGGGTTTCTAAGTTACCAAGGGTACCTACCTTCCCCACAGCATGGGTCCTGCCAAGCAGAGCCAGGACAAGGAGAAAGGCCTCGAGGGAGCCCTGTCCCCCAGCCCCAGATGACACATAATCCTGTCCCTGGACACGCACGGAAGTCATGCAGCACGACAGGGGAAGGGGAGCTGGGAGAGGGGCCACAGTCCCTAGCCCCCTGCCCGCAGGGGCAGCTGTCGGCATGAGGGCAGTGAGTGAGCCTTTGGAGGCGTGGGATGAGCGTGCTGCTGGGCTGCCCTGGGCGCATGCAGGGACTCAAGACGCAGCCTCATCTTCTTGGACGCCAGGGAGCTCCGGGCTCTTGACACCTTCTCCACACCCGTCTTTCCTGTTCAGGGAACACCAGGGGCAGAGGGACCTTAGGGATCAGCATAGGCACTCAAAAAGGATACTCTCACATACACTCACAGGCATTCATACCTACCAGCTCTCAAATCCCCCCTCACCTACTTCCCCAGGCTCGCCCCCTGCATCATGGCCCCTTACTGGTTTCCCTACCCCAAATCACCCCACAACTTTCCATGGCTCCCTGTTGCCCAGAGGTGAAGTCCAGACTTCCCAGCCTGGCTGACAGAGCCTCTCACGATCTGGTCCAGCTGACTTCCCTGCGTCCCTGAGTACCAGGCAGTTCACAGACTGTCTATGTTGGCCGATATCATCCCCACAGTCCTGGGTAGAGGGGCTTTGGTTCTGCATTTTCTTTTTGCACAGGGCAGAGTCTACCCATCAGTCTTAGGATTCTGTCATATATTCAATAGATTCCTATATTTGATTTTTCTCCTACGATCTTTCTTTTTAAAATGACAAATGAATGCATTTTGATATCTTTAAAAAGGATCAATCCTATTTAACTACTGTAGAGTTTCAACAGTTATTTCAAAGCTTGAAAAACAGGCTATCAAGAACAAATTTGTTAACTCCGATGAGGTAAAACCTGCTTTTCAAAATTAAACCTGGGTCACAGAATTATAGAATTTTATAGCTGGAAAGTATGAAGCCCAGTCCTTTCACAGTCCAGCAAGGAAACTGGCCAGTCTTCCCACTACATGTCTATAAAAGGACAATGATTGCCTTGCTCACTTGTATTCTTGGCAACTGGCCCTGTGCCAGGCTTGGACTAGGTGCTGGACATCTTAAGCCTGTGACTGGCCTGACCTACCACTAGGGGGCACTGAGCCACAAGCGCTGAGCTACAGTGGTCAGATGTTCAGGTTTGCTAGTCATGGTTTTGGCTATGCCTATAGTCCTGGCGTAGTTAGTAACAGCTTCCTCTTTCACTCTCAAAAGTGGCTCTATTTGGATGCTAAATATGTGATGCCCTACAATAAGCTCAATTCCAGCACTGAGGCATGCAGACCTGGGGAGCCCAGGGAACCCCTTTCCCCAGCCTTGGCCACTTCACTGAAGAAACAGAGACTAGGAAGTAAGCTCAGTAACACCAAGGCCTCTCCCAGGCCCCACCCCTTGCCCCTCATTGGCCAGAAAGTTTGTCAAGAAGAGGGCAAGAGGTTGGTAATACGGACATCCCTGAGGGCAAGCAACCTCTGACAGGAAACATACACCAGCTTGTCCATGATGATGGGACCCAGCACTTCTGGAGAGCCCACTAAAAGAGGGTGGCCTCACTCACGTCTAGTCCCTTGGACGGCACAAGTTAAAGTACGCTTTCCTGAGAGACTGAGGTACCTGGACTCGGTCCAGTGCTCCCTTTCTGGGGAACGTGCCTTCCCCACACAACTCCTCCCCTCTGCAGCTTCCTTCACAGGCCAGAGTAAGGTGACTAACTTCCCAGGAGCACATGCGGGTCCAGGACCCTCTCATGGCTTTCTGTCTGCAGGTCTGTGTACAAACTCCAGCAGACCTTGTTGGAATCCCAAACTTTTATTTTAGTGGGAGAAGGTGGACAAGCTGAGGATGAGGTTCTCAGAGGTTGGGGAACTGCTTTTCTGACCTCTTCTAGCAGGTGGTGATTGCACAAGCCTGTTTCACAGTAGGGAGCCTTCAGCAAAGGGAGTTCCTCTTCCCCAGCCCAGTCAGCCGGCCAATCCGGGCTTACTTACTCAACAAGCATTTACAAAGTGCTGACTAGGCACACAGCCTCAGCAACGGCTAGAGGTAGCATGGGCCATTCAAGAGAGCAGCTGGCACTGCACTGGGCTAGGAAGAGTTTGCAGAAGTGCCCTCCCTCCACAGCCGAGCCATCCTTCTATGAGGAGCAGACATGAGGCCTGTCTGCAAACCTCTACCAGGCTGCCATGGGCCAAGCACAGAGGGACAGATGTGGTCCTACTCTGTGAGACCTGGCTGAGTCCCTAGGCTCTGGGCTCAGTCTACATAGCCCAATGACAATGAGAGTGGGGGAATGTGCCACGGGCCTCAGCCTACCAGTACTTACAACAGTAAGTTTCCTGGAGCAGACAAGGATCGCTCTTCCCTCCGTGCTTGGGGCTCAAACGGGTTCCCAAAGGAACGCTTTCTCAGCATGGACTTAACCAGGATCTGGGGGAGACATGTCAGCGTGAGGAACACAGGCCCCCAGGGTCCCAAACACACTCTCCCCTCTGACTTTCTGAAGGCAGCTGAGAGGTGGGCCCTGCTGAGGCTCCCTTTAAATCAGCAGAGAAAGAAACAGTATTCCCACCAGAGGAAATGACAAGAGCATGGAGGGTGATGGGTGATGCTCAATTCAGGGAATAGGGAAGAACCCAGTGCAACTAGTGCATGGGGGGCTGGGACATCAGGCTGAAAGCAGGGCTTTATCTTGAGGGCATGGGAAATGCCTCCTCTCTGAGGCAGGAAGGATGGAGTAGAGGAGAGGCTGTTCCAGGCAGCAAAGAGGAAGCTGCACAGTGGCCTGGGGAAGATGCCCAGAGGCACTACTGCGCCCTAGCTCTCTGACTTTGTCCCTCCTGTAACAAGGAGAGTTCCACGCCCCTGCCCACATACACACAAACACACACACATGCATAGCGCCAGGGGTGCATTCACTTTTTCTTTCATTTATTCATTCAACAACTATTTATTGAGTGCCTACCATATACCAGTCACTATTCTAGGCACAGGAGCCAAACTGAGGCAAATATTCTTGCCTTCATGGAGTTTATATTCCAGTTAGGGGGTGGGAGAGGCAACAAATCAGACAAATTAGTAAAATATATAACATGTTAGTGGTAGGGGCTAAAGAGAAAAAATAAAACAAGGAAGGGGGTATGGTATGACAAAAAGGAAGTTGGAATTTGAGGTAAGGCACCAGGGAAGGTGACTTTGAGGTGACTTTGGAGTAAAGACCTGAAAGGAGTGAGGAAGTGAGCCCTATGGATGGCTGGGCAGGGGCATCCTGGATAGGGAAGAGAAGTTAAAAGGCCCTAGGACAGCAGCTTATGTGGCACATTGTTGGAACCCAGTGAACAGGGGAGGAGAGACGAGGTCAGTGAGACATGGTGGCGGGCAGGCTGTACAAGGTCTTGGCAAGACAGTCAGGGCTGTGGCTCTTACTCTGAGTGACATGGGAGGCTGAACAAGCAGGGTCTGAGCTGAGAAGTGACATGACCAGGTCACCAGGACCACCCTGGCTGGTGGTGAAGGTGAGGATGGAGGCAGGGAGACAACTTAGGAGGCGATTCCAGTGCTTTAGGAGAGAGGTGATGGTCGCTAAGACCAGGGAAGTGGCCTGTGGGAGCTGACTGGCTCCAGGGACCTGACAGAGCCCTGGAGCTCTACAGAGCACAAGAACAGGCAGGACTTTAGCCAGCTGGCCGACCAGGGCCTGGACCCAGCAGGGAGGGATGAAGTGCATGAACCTGACCTACCCACAGCACTGCACAGCTCTCTCCTGGCCTTGTCCTCACCCTGACTCAATGTGGTACCTCAGTGCAGGGTGAGCCATGGCTTTCAGTATCCCAAAATCCCCAAATGGCCATCAGGGACTACATTAGTTACTTCCAGTGTTAATACGGAAGATGTTCAGGGGAAGAGAAGAACTAAAATGGGAGAGAAGAATGGAGGGAACATACAGGTGGTACCTAACTGACACGTAGGGGGACTCTGGGGCTGCTTCCTAGGCCTTTTCATTGTCATATCCTTGGCCCCTAGTACAGTGTCTGGAAAGCAGCAAGAGTTCAATAAAAGAAAGAATGGAAGGAAGGAAGGGAGAGAAGTGGGAGGAAGAGATGGAGGCAGGAAGAAAATGCTTCTTCTAGTCATGGTGAATGCTGATACTCTGCAAGGGCAGAATGTTTTTTTCAATCATTCACTCTCCTCACCAAGTCTCCTGGCCTCCCTACCATGACGGTGAATAATGTGGCAACTTTCCCCATGGGCCTCCAGCAGAACAGTGTGGCCTCAGTGGCCCAGCTTTGAGGGTGGCAGACAGACGTCCTTCTGAACCCCCACAGGGCCCAGCACAGAGCAAGTCTCAGGTAGTGGCCATTCCCTCCTCAGGCCCTCCCAGGACAAGAGAGCCTTCTGCCCCTCACCCTCTTACCACCGTGGTCCAGCTGGGGATGAGCTTGACCGAGTTCTTCACCTCCTCCTCTGTCACCTCCACCACGCTACAGTGCTCTTCCTCTGAGGGAAGGGGCTCTTCCCCATTCTTGGTCACCCATGGGTGCAACTGTGGAGTTAGGAGGGCAAGGAGGGGTCAGGGCCACAGGCAGATAGACACACTGAGTCAGTAAGGGACCACGAGCATTCTACCAGCATTAATGGAATCTGAAGCTCACAAACCTCAAACCCAAACACAATACACATATATCTTGGGGTAGGGTTCTACAGGAGAAACTGAGGCCTGCTTGCTCTGTCCTGGCTCAGCCCAGCCCAAGACCTCTGTTTCCTCTACCTTGATGTCTGGCACCCCAATTCTCGTCTCGGGATTCTTGTCTAGCATCTTCAGGATTAGGTCCTTGAGCTCCTCGCTGACCTCTGGCCTAAAGAGGGGAAGAAAGAAGATGAAGGGGAGATAGTTGATGAGGATCCTTTTCTTCCCACCTCTCCCTCCCCACCCTGCTCTGTGGGTTCCTTGATTAGCACCCCAGGGCAGAGACACACCGATTCTCATTTCTCAAATAGCGGGAGGGACACCTCCAGGGTACCAGGGAGGAAGGAGAGTTCCAGAACAAGTGTATGGATATCCTTCTTTCCTGAGTAGGAAGTAAAGCAATCTCCCTCAGGAGACAGAAGCCACAAACACAGAGTTCCAGGAGTACTGGACACCCCTCCCTGGGTTGCAGAGACGGTGAGAATAATGTGAGAAGACCTAGTGTGGGACACTAGTGGTCTTCACTCTCACTTGCAATCTTATCCTCTCTTCCATCTGGGAGGTGGCCAGGAAAGATTCTCCCTTGACAGAGGAGGAAACCAAGGCCCAGAGAAGTTAGTGAGTTAGTATATTACTACCGAGAAGAGTGAGGACAGGGAAGAAGGACTCAGAGGGAGGGGGAGCAGGACCCTCAGCCTCACATCAGCCTGAATTATCTCTGTCCAAACTCCAGGCTTCTTTGCTACCAACATCCTTAGGGAGCCCATCCTTTCAAGCCTGCGGAACCCACACTTGAGACTGCTGGTCTTGGTTCCCGTTGCTATCCTAAATGCAGAACGCCTTTGAAAATGCCTGGGCTGGGGAAAAAAAGATAGCTTTGGCAGGGGGTCCTGCTGGAGGAAAGGCACGGGAGACAGGCAATTACAGGAAGAGATGGATCCAGTTGACTAGTGTTGCAGGTGAGGGGCAATGTGGTGGCAAAACCCAGAGATCCTGGAATGCCAGGGCCAGGGCATGGCCTCTTCCTGTGGGCTTTGGGAAGCTTCAGAAAAATTTTAAGCAGGAGATATGGTGATATTTGTTGTGCTTTATCAGGGTCAACCTGGCCTGATTGTGGTGGCTGGACTGGATAGAGGCTGGTAGCAGGGAGACCAGAGAGGAAGTGGCTGGACAAGGCTGAGGCCTGAATGAGGCAGGCACACAGGTGGCAATGGAGCCAAGAGATATATAAGAGGTGAATTCAAGAGGGCTTGGGGACCAGACAGGAAGTGGGCACGAGGGAGCAGGAATCATTGAGGACAACTCCTAGGTTGGTTTGTGACCCGCCCTGGGCACTTTAAGCAGATGACAGAAGGGCCCTGAAAAACGAGGAGCTATGGTAGCCAACATCATGATCAGAGAAATGGCTGAGCAGGAAGGCCTCTACACAGTCCCTCTGGGCTCAGAGGCCTCAGTCACCAAAAAAGGCTGGTAGAAGGGAGAGGCTTCAAATCCCAGACCCACTGATAACTCTCCTCCATGCTTCCACTTTTCCATCTGTGAAATGGGGGAGCACACTGCCATCTTGAAGCCACACAGAGTTGGGAGAAGGTAGAGGTTCTAGAGTCTGCATGGAACTGGTGTCATTGCCCCCACTGGAGCCTTCAGAGACGGTGAATAATGTGAGAAGACCTAGTGTGGGACACTAGTGGTCTTCACTCTCACTTGCAATCTTATCCTCTCTTCCATCTGGGAGGTGGCCAGGAAAGATTCTCCCTTGACAGAGGAGGAAACCAAGGCCCAGAGAAGTTAGTGAGTTAGCATATTACTACCGAGAAGAGTGAGGACAGGGAAGGACTCAGAGGGAGGGGGAGCAGGACCCTCAGCCTCACATCAGCCTGAATTATCTCTGTCCAAACTCCAGGCTTCTTTGCTACCAACATCCTTAGGGAGCCCATCCTTTCAAGCCTGCGGAACCCACACTTGAGACTGCTGGTCTTGGTTCCCGTTGCTATCCTAAATGCAGAACGCCTTTGAAAATGCCTGGGCTGGGGGAAAAAAGATAGCTTTGGCAGGGGGTCCTGCTGGAGGAAAGGCACGGGAGACAGGCAATTACAGGAAGAGATGGATCCAGTTGACTAGTGTTGCAGGTGAGGGGCAATGTGGTGGCAAAACCCAGAGATCCTGGAATGCCAGGGCCAGGGCATGGCCTCTTCCTGTGGGCTTTGGGAAGCTTCAGAAAAATTTTAAGCAGGAGATATGGTGATATTTGTTGTGCTTTATCAGGGTCAACCTGGCCTGATTGTGGTGGCTGGACTGGATAGAGGCTGGTAGCAGGGAGACCAGAGAGGAAGTGGCTGGACAAGGCTGAGGCCTGAATGAGGCAGGCACACAGGTGGCAATGGAGCCAAGAGATATATAAGAGGTGAATTCAAGAGGGCTTGGGGACCAGACAGGAAGTGGGCACGAGGGAGCAGGAATCATTGAGGACAACTCCTAGGTTGGTTTGTGACCCGCCCTGGGCACTTTAAGCAGATGTCAGAAGGGCCCTGAAAAACGAGGAGCCATGGTAGCCAACATCATGATCAGAGAAATGGCTGAGCAGGAAGGCCTCTACACAGTCCCTCTGGGCTCAGAGGCCTCAGTCACCAAAAAAGGCTGGTAGAAGGGAGAGGCTTCAAATCCCAGACCCACTGATAACTCTCCTCCATGCTTCCACTTTTCCATCTGTGAAATGGGGGAGCACACTGCCATCTTGAAGCCACACAGAGTTGGGAGAAGGTAGAGGTTCTAGAGTCTGCATGGAACTGGTGTCATTGCCCCCACTGGAGCCTTCAGCAAAGGAGCAGTGTGAATATGGGGCCTAGGTCATACCTGCCCAACTCCTGGCCTCAGAGCTCTATCTGCCAATGAGATCCATCTGACCCATTGCTCTCAGAGACCCTGCTCCACAGTCCCAGACCTCTATCTGCTCAGGGGACCCTCCCGGGAAACAGCACCCCCACCTCCAGATCTATAGGAGGGAGTGGGGCCTTCAAAGGGCAAAAGCTCTGCTAAAATTCCGACATGCCTTCCTGGGGTGGGCAGGGGACCCCTTGGCAGACAACTCACTCATCGGGAAACACCACGGCCTCATTCTTGATCTTCTTGTGCAGGGCCAGGATGTAATCATCGATGAACGGGCACTATAGGTGGAGAAGCAGACAAAGGATGCAGGCCCGGAGCCTCGACTCATGCTGACAGACTGGCCCCATCTCTCCAGCTCTGGGTGCCCCCTCAGATGGGAGGGAGCCCAAGAGCCTTGACTCATGCTGACAGACTGGCCCCATCTCTCCGGGGATGGGGGCAGCTCTGGGTGCCCCCTCAGATGGGAGGGAGCCCATCTAACTTGTTCAGGGCCTGACACACAGTAGTGCTTAACAAACACTGACTGAAGGAATATGTCACTGAGGGCACCATGAAGCTAGGCAGACTCACCAGCATTATAGCCACCTGCAGAAAGGCCTCTACTCCCAAGGCCTGAAATTTGGGAACATGTTTACAGAGATTCCCTCCTCAACGTGGTCATTAGAGTGGGAGTATTTGTGGGCAGATATCTCAGCCAAGTCAGTGATGGACATCCCCAAGGCCCAGCCTGACCCAGAGCAGGAATCGAGGACAATTTGGTGAATGAATAAATGACTGAGTGTGTGAATGAATGAATGGCATCAAGGGACAGAAGGACAGAGAAGGACAGGGAGCACTCTGACTGGAGAGATGATGAAACGACTATCCTCACCTCCCCCATGAATGTCTGCTGTCTTAGGACTCTTTCACATGAATCCCCTCACAAGGGAACAAAGAGGAAAAGAGAAAAAGCCTCTTTTCCCTCAGTCTTCTCTGAGGGAAGAGCCAGGTGGCCTCTTTCAAATGTCATTTTACTTTAGGACACAAAGGGAAGGCCTGCACCTGTCATTTATCTTGATTCCGTTTGGCCCAACCCCTGGTGCCAGTCCACCCAATACTCACCTTCCCATAGATGAAGCAGTACAGCGTGACCCCGGTGGCCCATACATCCAAGGCCTAGAAAGAAAACAGCTCATATCAGTCCCCCGAAAGGAACCAACACCCTTGCCCACCCAGTTCCAGCAGGCTGTGGGAGAAGGCATGCAGAGAACCTCCTTCCTCAGTTGTGTATTCACTCAAAAAACACTCCCAGACCCTTGCTCCATGCTCGACTCTGTGCTGAGCACTGGGACACAGGGATGACCAGAACAGGACCCCTGCCCTTTAGAGATCCCAAGTCTCCTTGGAGCAGGCCTAAACCAAGTAAGTTTCTAACTTAGCAGGTGCGAAACTTCCTTCATCTACAGGGTTGCATTTGCTGTACCCATCGTACAGATGCACCCCAGAAACAGTGGTCTGTATTGAACTTATACGCACTAAACCAGCTCATCATCCCTTTTCCTAATGATCCACTGGTGAAGCCACCATCTGTCTTTTCTCTGACCCCAGAAACAGCCCTTGCTCACACCAAGGCCCTGGCCCTTGTCCACTTCCACCACTTCTCCCAGCTCCCTCATGCTCTGGTCCTAAGACGTGCTCTCTCTACATTTTCCCTTTTGGAACCCCATCTCCTCTCTTGGTGTCCACTTTTTCTCTCATGTGAGTGATTCTCAAATCTCTACCTACATATTCCTGCCACAGATGCATCATCTGAATCCAATAAGGGAACACCAGGCAAATGCAAATTGACATCATTTTACAAAACAACAGGCCTGTTCTCTTCAAAATGTCAAGGTCATGAAAGAGAGAGAGGCTAAGGAACTCATCCAGATTAAAGGACACCAAAGGGACATGATAAGTGAATGCAGCGAAGGACCCTGGATGGGATGCTGAACCAGAACAAGATAAGGCTTTTAAGGACAGGTTCAGGAGAAATGGTGAAATCTGAATAAGAGTCATTATATAATAGTCTTTTATCAATGATAAATTTTCTAATTTTGATAATTGTACTGAGATTATATAAGAGAATGTCCTTGTTCTTAGAAAACATCCACTAAAGTATTTAATGATAAAGTTGGATAAGTCTCCAGCTTAACTCTCAAATGGTTCAGAAAAGTGTCATATGCATATATGTAAACATAAGGAGAGATGGTGAAAAGGTAAATGGGACAAAATGTCAATAATTGATGAATCCAATTAAAAAGATATATGGGATTTTTTTTGTATTATTCCAATTTTTCTGTAAATTTGGAATTATATCAAAATTAAAACTTTTTTTTTTTTTAAATCTGTCTACACCCCTGACCTCTTGAGCTCCACACTCACTCATGTATCTAAATACCTCTCATCCACTGCCTCTTTGGCAGGGCACAGTGGGGCAGCCAGCATTCCACAGGTGAAAACAAGTATGTGCCTGGGGACACAGTGAACAGCAGCCCCTGCTCAGAAAGCTTTGCCTCCTGCCTCTGTCATAAGGAGAAAGCTCAAACTTCTAGGACTTAATGCCTCCCAAGCCCCACCATGCCCTTAGCCTCTGCCCCTCACTTCTCTGGTACATTCTCTATGCTCTATCTCCTGCTCAAATCCTCCCTATTTTTCAAAGCCTAGTTCAAACCCTGCCATGCCCAGGAAATCTGAGTTGAGCCTCCGACTTCCCCCAAACATGAGCTCTCCTGCCCTTTCCACCATCTCCAGAAGGGCAGAGAGCTGGGCTGTGTGGGCTCTGTCTGTTCCACAGCCTAGTCCAGAACTCAGCACAGAACAGTTGGCAGGAAATATCTGCAGGGGAGACTGGGTGCCATTTTGCTGGAAAATGAGAAGAAGCCAAAGTTTGTCGGACTCTAGGAAGAGGTAAGCATGAAGGAAGGAACCATGTTCAGTGTTCACTCCTGAGACACAAGAACCCTCAGGTTGGAAACCAGGCCTTGCTGCACGCTATCTCACCCCTCCACCTGAACCCCAACCCGGCCCAGGCCCTGGAAACCACCTTCCCACTGAAGCTCTGGCCAGACTCAGAAATGGCCTCAGGGGCCATGAAGGCTGGGGTCCCAGCTGTGCTGGACAGCTGAGCATCATTCCCCTCAAACTGGTTGCTGACGCCAAAGTCGGCAATCTTGACGTGTCCGTCGTCCCCCAGGAGCAGGTTGGATGGCTTGATGTCCCTGTGGATGATCTTCTGGCAGTGCACTGCAGAGAGAGGCAGCTTGAGTGCTGGCCTTGGGAGACTGCTGCCCAGAACCCCTCTCCTGCCCTCGCCTGGCCAGGGAAGGCTGTCTCAAACTTCGTGAGGACCTCGGAAGAGAATTGCGGAGTCTTCTGCTCCACTCTGCAGTGAAGACACTGAGGCTAGCCCAGGCCATTCGAAGCAGACAGGATGGGACTCTTAGGAACCTTTGGACTCTAAGTCCAGGGCTCCCTCCATGGCAATCAAGGCACCTGTTGCTGAAGGAGCAGGTCAGAGGAAACTGGAGAAAGGGCCATCGCTGACCCTCACACGTGAGCATTGTCTGCAGGCTCAAAGCCAATCAAAACCTTTCCCTAGTCTCATTCCCCACCCAGCCTAGTCAGAAGTGTTTCTTTCTCAGGCTTAGGGCAGGATTGGGGGGTATCCTGCAGAAATACTGCCTCAGCCCTAGGGACTCTGGGCTGAAGGAGATTCAGAGAGGGAGGGCACCCCAGGCCTTGGGACTGCTGTGATGAACATGGAAGGGTAAGGGTCAGCCTTGTCTAGTAGGCAGGGAGCTCACCCTGCTTTCTGGGGCCAGCACTGTTGAGAAGAGATGAGCAACTCAGACTGAGCGAAGGCACTGACCCGACCCTACTGCCATCCACTATATGCTCCCCGCTCAGCAAATACTTTCCGCTGGACTGACAGACCCCAGGATGTTGTAGGAGAGGAAAGATGGAAAGAAGAGCAGGAGAGGGAGAGGAGGAGGAGGAGAAAAGGCAGGCTGGGGACCAAAGGAACAACTGTTACATAACAATAACAACAAAACCAATGGTCCTATAGTGATTGCCTGGGTACCAAGAGCACACAAGGGATTTGGCACACACCCATCAGAGCACAAAGGCTCAAGGGGCTATGTATCTGGCCATGAAAAATGGTCTCAAATTCTTATCTCAAACCCTAGCCTCACCCCTGAACTCCAGGCTCTTTATCTACATGAATATCCAGTAAATATCTCAATATATATCTCAGTATTTCTTAATAACACCTCTAATGCAGAATTTGATTTCTCTGTCTGCAATCCCCATCACCACCGCCACCACCAAACAAAACAGAAAACCCCTGCTCCTCCTCTAGTCTTTCCCATTCGGTTAATGGCATATTACCAGTTGCTCAGGTGTCTCTCTCAGACCCCACATCCAAATCATCAGCAAGTCCTATGGGCTCAGCCTCTAAGATATTTTCCAGATCTGGCTGCTTCTCACACTCGCATTGCTGCACTTGCTCCATCTATAAGAATCAGGCCTGGACTCTCCAACCACAGAGCCTTCTGTGATAGCCTCAATGCTCCCTTAGAGAGACTAGAATCACAAGGCAGGTCATCATGCCCGGTGCCTCTATTCAATTGCCTGTTCAGCCCTGGTGCTCACAATCCACCCGGAGAAGCACTTCACTGTGACTAGCTGGGTCTTGCTAAGGCTTTATCGAAATAGGATTAGTCTTTTTTTTTGTTTTTGGAGGCAGGGTGGAGGAAACAGAATAGGAGATAATAGACCCTCAGGGGAGGAGAAGGTCCCAGAACAGCATGGGGTGGAGGCCAAGCCAGTGCAGGGTGGTGCCCACTGTAGACCACACCCAGCATGAAATGGCCCCTTCCTACACCTTAGGCCCTTGCTAGAGACTCTGCAAAGCCTTCCTACCTCTGTGCCTCAGTTTTCCCTTATGTACAAAGAGAATATTAATCTGAGGGCATTGGAATGGCTCAAATGAGATAAAAACAGTCCTGGTTCCTGTCACCTGAGCTGGGCCCTCATCCTGTTTCCCCAGGGGGAGAATATGCTCCTGATAAACCAAGCTAAGATTTTAGAGAGATGGGCACCACTCCTGCTCCCCAAACCAGACCAGAAGCCTAGGCGTCTGGCCACCCTACCTCCTTCACATCTCCTCCCCACTGCCACTGTCCTAATCCAGGCCTCACCATCTGTCACTTGGGCTCTAGAAAC